GTCTGGAGGAGGGGCAGCCTGGGGCAGAGGCAGAGGCCGGGACCTCCTGTGGCCAGGCAGGCCGGGCTTCTCTCCAAGGTGCTGACCGTGCATGGCTCCCGGCCAGGCCCAGTCACCCCGCAGCCCCCTGACTCCGACCCATTAAAGGAGGCTCTTGGGGTGCAGAGAGGGAGGGCTGACAGCCAGGGCCGGGGACCCCAGCAGGTAAGCCGGTGGAAGGTCTGCTCCAGTGGAAGTGAGGCCGACTCGGAGCTGAGTGGGGCTCCGTCACCTGGCCCCACCCTCTGCCCCTCAGTGCCCTTCTCGCTGGGGTCTGCAGCCGGGGTCCTGGGCTCTGGGCAGACTGCGGTGGGGTCTCAGGGTTGAGGTGCGGACTCCGGCACATTAACCCCTCACAGTCCTCCTGGGTAAAGATCGTGGAGCCCAGGACAGCCCAGGCCTTAGTGCAGACCCCCTGGTAACCCCACTTCCCTGAGAGTGTTTTTAGAGAAATCAGGGGAGGGGGTGGAGTGAGAGCCTGGCCACATCCTGGCCCCAGGGGTGAGAGCAGGCCCAGGGTGGCAGGACAGCTGCTGTAAATCTGTGACTCTGGGTCCCGGGCCTTATCCCCTCGATCTGTCTTCCTGGGGGAGCAGGAGGTGCTGGGAGAAGGGGTGGTAGGTGGCTAATCCCTTTGGCCGCTGCCCCAGGGCCTGTCCCTGTCCCTGGGCCTTGGCCTCCACCAGCTGTTACCAAAGTTTCTTTGTCTGGAGTCAGAGCCAAAGCCTCTGGGGCAGGTGGAGCCAGGACACCCTGAGCCTTAATCCAGAGCAGATCCGCGCGAGGTTTGGGAACTGGCAGCATCGCTCAGGAGACGGGCAGCCCTGGGCCCAGCCAGCAGAGGCTGTCGGGAGGGCTGGGTCTGCCGTCCAGGCACCTGGACCTGACAAACACCGGGCTTCTCCCAGGACCGAGGCCTGGGGAGCAGTGGCCGGAGGCTCAGCAGGCCTCTAGTCTGGTCCTAGCTCTGCCGTGTGGCTATGGGCACGTCCCTGCCACTCACCGAGCTTCATTTTTCTCAGTAACGTGTGTCCTCATGGGCGACAGTCCCCTGTGAATGTAATTAGAGCTGAATTGCATGGCACAGATGGGGAGCGCTGGGAAGTCGGACCAGGGAGCTGTTCGGGAGGGCTTCCTGGGGGAGGAGGGCTTTGGGCTGAGCTGTGATGAGAAGGAAGGGCAGCTTGGGCAGGGGGACAACAACACAAGAGGGAAGAGCCAGGTCTTGCCCACAGCACAGGGGCGCCTGGATGTGTCCATTGACCCCTGGTCTGAGCCAGACCCGGCACAACCAGCAAATGAACCACTTCCCCACTCGGCTTTGTGTCCCTTCTGTAACACAGTCACATGATCACCTGGGCTGGGGAGCAGGTGGGCTCGGAGGTGGGTGCCAGCCAGTGGGGTCAGGCAGGACAGGCGGTGGGAGCCATGGGAGGCTCTTGGGGTGCCCGATGGAAGGGGGATGGAGAGAAAGGAGCTGGACCGTGGGGTGGAATGAGAGCTCAGGAGGTGGGAATGGACTCTGGAGGCTCACGCTGCCCAATCCAGAGGTGGGCAGAGGGAACCGGCCACAGCAGAGCCTCGGAGGGACCATGTGCGGCGAGCAGAGCCCCCACGGCCAGCGGGCACCTCGGGCGGCTGCGTGACCTCCCTGAGCCTCCCTGTCAGCGTCTAGAAAATGGGGCGCTCCCGTTGACGTCACCCAGGCTGTGGGCAGGAAAGGGGGCATAGAGGTGCTCACTGCAGTTCTCTCCTCCCACCGAGTCCGCCCCGGTGCCCGGGGGAGAGGCCAGAATTACAGGCTGGGCACACCCGCTCCTGGCTCCCTGACCAGTAAGGCCAGGTGCCCCCAGCCCTGGGCCCCTGGGTCTCACCTACGAGTGAGCGGCCTTTCTTCCTGCCGCACAGCTAGTCACGCACACACCTGTGCCTCGTGTGTCTCTTGCTTTCAAGGTTTCTCAGTAGCAAGTATGTTCTCCAGGGAGGTGGCACTGGGACCGAGCTCCGGCTGCAAGCAGGCTCCTGGGCTCAGGGGTGCGGGGGAGGCAGGAGCTCTGCTGGCCGAGGACCCTGGGCCAGGAGTGGAGACCCGGGTGCATGTCACTTAGCCGCACTGGACTTCCGCATCCATGAATGGGACCGAGGAGGCCCTGCTGCCCCTCTCCCGGCAGCGGGACCGGGACGATGCGAGAGCCACACAGCTCCCTTGACAAACGTGTCGGGAACGTGTCATCACATCCCTGCCTGCAAACACTGCCACCTGCCCTGCCCATTCATCCTCACTGACCCCTCGTGCCACTGGGCCCCAAAGCATAGCAGCGGCCTCCCATCCTACCTGCGGCCGAGGCCAAGCAAACACGGGGCCACGAGGGAGGCAAGGGCTCCTGTTTCTTGGAAAAGCTTCCGCTCCTGGCACGTGGCCTGGGTGTTGGCAGGAACTGTCCTAACGTGGCAGGCAGGGGCGTTCTGGGGACGTGGACGGGGCGGGAGGCAGGCAGGGGTGATGGGGCCGGGCGGGGAGCTGAGGGGGGCCCTCCAGGGGCGGGGTCGCCTCGAGGCAGGGCGTGGGCGCAGGCCGGGGTGGGGACCCGGGGAAGAGCGGCTGTGGGTGCTGCCTGGGCAAATAATGTGAGCCCACGGCACACATGCATGTTTGCACAGAAGGACTTGAACGATCTGGGCCTGCCCTCTGTCCCCCGCAGCCCCATCCCGCCCCCCCACCCCGCCCCTGACCTTTCCTTCCTTGTCACTTAGAGGAGCCCTTGAAAGGGAGCGTCCAAGTCCAAGGGAAACGCCCTCTCTCTTGCTGGCATTCTCTCCGCCACGGTCGGTGGCAGGGCTGCCAAGGAAGCTGGGACGGCTGGTCTGCACAGGAGGGACCGAGGGCGCTGCCCCTGGCGCGTTCACCCGGCCATGCTCCCAGAGAAAGGGCTCGGATGTGGAGCGGGCTGGCTGCGGCCCTAGAGAAGCCGGGGTAGTTCCCAAATGGGGTTCCTTTGCTTCCCACCAGAGGAGCAGGTCAGTCCCGCGGGCCTGGAGACGGGCCAGGGAGTCCCCGCGCTGCGCGGGGGCACAGCAATTCCACTGCTAGGGCAGCCACCAGCCCCCTTATGGCCAGATGCCCTTAGGCAGCGTCTCCCACATGAACTCGCGTCAGGGATCACCCAGGGCCGTGGGCGCAACTGCTCCCCCCCCGCCCCGTTCCGCCTGAGGACTCGCCTTCCCAACCGGTTCTCAGCTGCCCCCAGGAGCCTCTGCTTCCAGGGGCAGTGCC